GGGGTGAAAGCACCCCCGCTAATCCATGGGTTATTCATGACGATGCACCGCCATGCAAGTGCCCCCCCCCCTCTCTCTCTCTGTACAGGTACGGAGAGGAGCGATAGAATCTCTGAGCTACACATTCTATAAGACTGTACGCACTCGCACGATAGATAGATAGATAGATAGATAGATAGATAGATAGATAGATAGATAGATAGATTAGAAAAGGTAAAAGAACGGTGGGATGGAGGATGGAACGATAGGGAGAGATGAGGGGGGCGAGAAAAAAGGCTTATAGAAGCAGAGGACATAGCCACATGATGAGAGCCAGCTTCGGCTCAGCCCGGCTAGGCTCCGGCGACCGTAACGGCGGCAGCGGGAGAGAGGAGACAACGCGGACAGTGAGGGGGCGAGGAGAAAGACAGAGAGACGAGACGACGCTGGAGACAGCGAGACAGAAGAGACAAGGGGCGGCGGCAGCACCACCGGACGCCGCGAGGCACGCCGTCGCCGCCGTAAAACAAGATCGCTCGGCTCTGCGGCGGCACGCGCGTCGCCCGCTTCTTGCATCGTCTGCTCGCGATGGTGTGAGGCGCAGGCCCTGCCAGCCGCCTCGCTTTCCCCTGCTGGCATGACAACGGGACAGCAGGACAGCAGGAGGACGTGATGCTCAACCTACCTGAAACCTCTGACCGAAACTAAAAGTACTGTTCGAAGACGCGATCAATTTCCCCCGCATGAATGCCCTGTATATCCATTATTTCCGTCCCGTTTTAGAAGGGGGATTTTGTCTCCTACCACCACCACCCACAACCCTCTCGTCGATGGCCGCGTCCCGGCAGCCGGCAGGGTGGTAAGTTAAGTAGTAGAGTACTCACTGAGCGCGGGCGTGCAGTAGGGCAGCGACTGCGCGCTGGGCTCGCTCAGGCCGTGCACGTTCTCGGCGCGCACCCGGAACACGTGGCGCCTGCCGGCGGCCAGGTCGCGCACCACCGCGGACAGCGAGTGGCACCTGCGGAAGAGAATATCAACATCATCAGCGTCGAACGGCAGCATACAGTGAACCCCTGCAGCCGGTGCATAGGCAACCCAACGTACTGTCATGTCTTAGCCTGGACACCCAGCACCCAGTACAATATATTGCTACAACAACCGACGGACTGGGTGTACGATGGTGTAAGTACCAGAAGCAGCTTATATCTAATTGGTGATGTGCACAGTAAAACCGAGGGGGACCAACTCGAAAAAATCGTGTACACGTGAATACAAGAAATACAAAGAAAATACAAAAAAAAAAACTTTAGAATACAAAGAAATACATCTAAATACACGTCAAAAATACAGGTGAAGTACAAGAAATACATGCAAAGCGTGCACAGAAATACGCGAGTTGGCCCTCTCTTGAGTAACACCTTGAGCCCCAGAAAGGCTGACGTTTTCCATAACAAAGCAAATTGTTAAGAAATCGTCTAAAAATCGAACGATTAAAAAATGATCACACAAATGAACATTCCACCGCAGGAAAAGAAAAAGAAACACGATGTAATTCGTGCCCCCCCCTCCCTTCCCTCTCCTCCTCTCTGTCAATCGGGACAGGTCGAGACAGGCGCGTCGTGTCGATTAATAAGTCCAAATCGCAGAGCACGAGGGGCTGCTCGCGGACGTGCTGTGCGCTGACGCAACGTCAGGTGCGAATCAGTGACGCGCTGCGCCGTGCCGGCCGGCACGGCCACAGCACAGCGGCCTTGATAAAGACGAGGCACATCGGCAGATCCCTACAAATAACATAGGCTCAACGACACGCGGGTGACAATCGGAGCGCACTTATACGCGCGTCACATGGCTAAAGCTCACCACATATGACGAGAAGGAACCGAGAAATGTTATCAATGATAACAACAACAGAGCAGCCAGCTAATATGTCTGCGACACAAATGCGCCATACAATAACCATATAGCATATCACCCGTTTATTTCCTTGGAAAGTCTCCGCGCCGCCGTCGTCGCGGGTAAGAGAGTGTGTAATACGTGCCCCCGTTTTACCCCTTCCAACAAACACACCGCACGTCCGCAAAGCGGTGATCGAGCGCGCGCAGACGGTCCCCGCTGCTCCGCCCTCTGCCCCGCTCAGCGCAGAGACAGTAGTCGTCGTCCCGCCCCGCCGCACCCCTGATGGCATAATGGGGTGGTGTGTGGCAGCGCATCGCGACGCTCGGCTGCCGGAGCAAAGCGTCGCAGAGCGTCGCAGGCGTCGCGGCGCAAAATTACTTTTTCCCCGCGCGACGGCAGAAAAGAGTCCCCGTGCGTGCCGCGGCGGCAATACAATCGGCCAGCCGATGCGGCGGAGAAAGAGAGGAAAAGGTGGGGGG